GTTGTCGCGGTGTGGGCCAGAGGCACTGGCTCTCCGAATGCAAGGCCAAGCAGTCCTATGTGCGGGCGTTGACTGCAGACTCCCAGGGCCGAGTGGGCTGGCGCTGGATTCGGATCGACACAGCTTGCGTCTGCACGCTCCTTAGCCGAACAGGCAGGGCCTGAGAACCACAGCTTGGGAACTGCTCAGGTTGAGCAAAGAAAAGAGCTGGATGCTAAAGGACCTCAGAGGCGATCTGGATGCTCCACTTTGCCTTTTGATTGAGAACTGAAAAAAAAAATCATATCTCTTACATTTTGAGAGCTCCATCTATGTGGAATGTTTGATGAGACCAAACAGGGTTTTGAGGAATGAATAAGAGTTCTCCTGGAGGAAACTGACAGCAATAATAATAGCCAATGTTTGCTATCTACTGTTTGTTAGAACTAATACATGACTCTGCTGACTACCATCCAACTTCGGAGGGCCCTGACTCAAGAGAGACAAGGAAAGAATGTATGAAAAGTGATGACTGAGCAGGCTGTGCCTCAGTAGGTGACAGTCTGTTTGCCTAGCATACACCAAGTTCTGGGCTCTGTCCTGAGTACTACCATCATAAATCATGTACAGTGGCAGACATCTGCAATGCCAGCACTTGGGTGGTAAAGGCAGGCAGATCAGGAGTTCACAGTCATCTCTAGCTACACAAGGAATTTGAGGCCAGCCTTGTCTACATGAGAAACTATCTCAAAAAAAAAAAAAAAAAAGGAAGAGAAAGAAAAAATGAAAAGGAGTGGGGCTTTGTTGTGATCCTAATGCTTGGGAGGCTGCAGACAGAGGATTGCCTCTAGTTCCAGGGCAGCCTGGGCTATATAGACAAATTTACAGGGGCAGGGGGGGAGAGGGGGGACACACTAAGAAAACGATGGGAGCAGCTGGCCCCAGAACCTTGAGAATGTGGTGAGTGAAAGGCCAACAAGCACCTGGGAGCCTGGGAGCCTGGGAGCCTGGGAGCCTGGGAGACTGGGAGCCTGGGAG